AGTTTTGCTTCAACCCTAATCAAACACACCTGAACAAGGCTAATCAAGGTCTGACGGTTACTAGGAAGCTACAGGGCAGGTGAGTTTTAATTAGGCTTGGAGCTGAACTCTGCAGAGCTGCAGCTCTCCAGGACCGGAGTTCGCCACCCCTGCTTTAGATCATGACATACTACTCATAGAACTATACGGGTATTCAAGGGCAGGCTTTAAGATGGTTTAGCTCATACCTGTCCGATCGTTATCACTTTGTCTATTTAAAGGGGTCATATGATGCTGCTAAAAAGAACGTTATTTTGTGTATTTGGTGTAATGAAATGTGTTTATGCTGTTTAAAGTAAAAAAAAAAACCACATTCTTTTCCACATACTGTACATTATTGTTTCTCCTCTATGCCCCGCCTTTTTGAAATGCGTCGATTTTTACAAAGCTCATCGGTCTGAAAAAGTGAGAGGTGTGCTGTAATTGGCCAGCTATCCAATGCGTTGTGATTGGCCGAATACCTCAAAAGAGAAAGGAAAAATTGAAATCGCATCATATGACCCCTTTAAATGGGGAATCATCTCAATTATCGCCAGTTTATCAAGGATCTGTCCTAGGCCCTCTGCTATTTGCAATATACATGTTGCCCCTTGGTAATATTATTAGAAAATACAAGATTAGTTTCCATGGTTATGCTGATGATACTAATTTCAACAAGATCAGATAAAACTTCTAAATTATCTAAGCTAACAGAGTGTGTTAAAAATGTAAAAAGATTGGATGACCAATAATTTTTCCCTATTAAATTCGGATAAGACAGAGATATTACTTATTGAACCAAAAAACAGTACAAGATTACAATTTGCATCTAGACGGATGTACTGCTACTTCCTCTACAGTCAAAAATGTAGGTAATTATACTAGACAGCAACTTGCCTTTTGAAAATCATATTTCCCATGTTACAAAAACAGCATTCTTTCATCTTAGAAACAATGCCAAGCTACGGAACATGTTACCTGTTTCTGATGCAGAAAAGCTAGTTCATGCATTCATGACCTCTAGACTGGATTACTGTAATGCACTGCTAGGTGGTTGTCCTGTATCTTCAATAAACAAGCTACAGGTAGTCCAAAATGCAGCTGCTAGAGTCCTTACCAGGTCAAGAAAATATGATCATATTACCCCAATATTACAATCTCTGCATTGGCTAAAAAAAAAAAACTACAGAAAGTGGCGAAGTCACGTAGTCCGTGACGGACAGATTATTAACTGCTGGTCTGTATGGTAATTAAAGTACATCATTCAAGACATGCAAATACTCGTTTCGTTCACTGACATCAAATGTGGCTTATCATCTGAAACATGCAAGTAGTAACATCATTACATGACCACTAGCTTGAACCTAGAAAAATGTGTGCTATTGAAGTGTTTGTGCGGAGTGTGAAAGCTGAACAGTAGTGCGCTCACTGCATGTTAACTTGGAGGCATGGTGCGATCATTTGCATTTAACTTAAAAGATTCTGTCAGTTTTGGTCAGAGTAATATATCTTTTGAATCTGTGAAAGGTCTACATTTATTTGCGTGCACTCAGAATAACATCAAAACACTGTGCTTTTGTAAAATAATGAAAACAAACAGGGTGCGCTTTCTGCCATCTAGGTCTCTGTGAACTTGTGCGAGTTAAGAGAAAAAAAACGATGACTGAACCAAAACTCTGCTTGCCTCAAAAACATAAAAAATATATCTACAGAAATCGAAATGTCTGCTTTTAAATTAACCAATTCAAATGGAAAACAAAAATGTTCAGATTATGTAATCTGTATGAAATGTGCGCGTCCACTATGGAGATCACTGCAGCTGAAAATACAGAAAACACTAGTTTATCAATGAAATATTATGTTAAAGCAGTCTTCTTGTGGTTTTTCCCTAAAGCATTCATAATCATTACTTCTGCAGTGCGCTGTTGCAAGCTTTATGCGTGTGCTTGAATGCTGTAAACTACAGGCAATTAAAGGCTCATTATTATGAATTAAAGGTTTATTAATATAAGCATGCGGTAAGAGTCAACTAATCGCTTCAAATGAACGACTATTAGTTGATCAGAAAAATCTTTAGTCAAGGGCAGCCCTAATTTCTTCTTTTTGGAGAGGCAAGTTTTGATGGCATTAGTGACATGCACTGTTAATGCCTTTATCACAGGTGCCAGTACACCACAATCCATCGTATTCATCCACGCAGAATAGCGGAGTTAAACTCAATATAATCATTAAAACAATGAACCACTGAAACGTGTAACTTCATGTCTTTTCTGTACTGCAGATTTAATTATTTCACAGCTTTTATGATTTTTCTAACTTGTAACACTGAATCTGACAAACTGCTTGAAGTTGTATAACCTTATTGAAGAATCAAGAATATACACCTCATATTACCCCAATATTACAATCTCTGCATTGGCTAAAAAAAAAAAACTACAGAAAGTGGCGAAGTCACGTAGTCCGTGACGGACAGATTATTAACTGCTGGTCTGTATGGTAATTAAAGTACATCATTCAAGACATGCAAATACTCGTTTCGTTCACTGACATCAAATGTGGCTTATCATCTGAAACATGCAAGTAGTAACATCATTACATGACCACTAGCTTGAACCTAGAAAAATGTGTGCTATTGAAGTGTTTGTGCGGAGTGTGAAAGCTGAACAGTAGTGCGCTCACTGCATGTTAACTTGGAGGCATGGTGCGATCATTTGCATTTAACTTAAAAGATTCTGTCAGTTTTGGTCAGAGTAATATATCTTTTGAATCTGTGAAAGGTCTACATTTATTTGCGTGCACTCAGAATAACATCAAAACACTGTGCTTTTGTAAAATAATGAAAACAAACAGGGTGCGCTTTCTGCCATCTAGGTCTCTGTGAACTTGTGCGAGTTAAGAGAAAAAAAACGATGACTGAACCAAAACTCTGCTTGCCTCAAAAACATAAAAAATATATCTACAGAAATCGAAATGTCTGCTTTTAAATTAACCAATTCAAATGGAAAACAAAAATGTTCAGATTATGTAATCTGTATGAAATGTGCGCGTCCACTATGGAGATCACTGCAGCTGAAAATACAGAAAACACTAGTTTATCAATGAAATATTATGTTAAAGCAGTCTTCTTGTGGTTTTTCCCTAAAGCATTCATAATCATTACTTCTGCAGTGCGCTGTTGCAAGCTTTATGCGTGTGCTTGAATGCTGTAAACTACAGGCAATTAAAGGCTCATTATTATGAATTAAAGGTTTATTAATATAAGCATGCGGTAAGAGTCAACTAATCGCTTCAAATGAACGACTATTAGTTGATCAGAAAAATCTTTAGTCAAGGGCAGCCCTAATTTCTTCTTTTTGGAGAGGCAAGTTTTGATGGCATTAGTGACATGCACTGTTAATGCCTTTATCACAGGTGCCAGTACACCACAATCCATCGTATTCATCCACGCAGAATAGCGGAGTTAAACTCAATATAATCATTAAAACAATGAACCACTGAAACGTGTAACTTCATGTCTTTTCTGTACTGCAGATTTAATTATTTCACAGCTTTTATGATTTTTCTAACTTGTAACACTGAATCTGACAAACTGCTTGAAGTTGTATAACCTTATTGAAGAATCAAGAATATACACCAACCTATTTGTTGTTCAGTATCTTCCTGTTTTATTCTGCTGGGTTCTGGATCAGTCATGTTTTTGACTTTCTTTCATAAACTGTTGTGGGAGGAGCTGAATTGTAGGTGAATTGCTGTGTGGTTGGAAGGAGCAGATCTGTCAAAATCAAAAATAAATCAGTTATTAAATTGATGCTTTCATTACTTCACACACTTAAATCATGTTGTGTTTATCCCGCTATCAGTATATAAAGTTATTTAATTTGTAAATTTTCAACTCGAATTGGTCTCACTGGAATACAGGAATCCAAACTGTCGAACGTCAATATGATAAGGTACTCATTCTCTGAACTTCTTTCATAGGATCTTCATTTGCCTCCCTGTAATGCTCTGCGAGCACTTCACTGTTGCGACGGCCAAGATATTCACATTGGGGCTCTCGTCGGGGTTTATATGCTTGCCGGCTCAGGACATTTCAATTCCTATGGTATCTGCACGTCTAATCTATTTTACCCACAAACGTCTTCTATGTAACATCTAAAATCAGACTTGCACAATTAAATGTGCGGTCTATGAATATGAAAGCAGCATTGCTTCATGATATTATCCTGGAAAGGAAACTTCAATTTCTTGCATCACTCAAATGACTGTTACAATCTAAACTTGGCCTCGCCACCTGGACATACATATTAGGGATGGGCATTCCAAGCAAAAATAATATTCGAAAATCGCTGGGTATTATTCGATTATTATTCGAAAATCGCACCCCTCCCCCGCAAGCACGCACAAACACCCATAAACAGAGAGAGATGGAGAGAGATGGGATTCACGCTTTGAATCTGTATGATAAACTGTTTAATTCAGAAGATAGGCTACCTTAACTCAAGCCATATAATGATTGTAACGTGCTGAAACATATTAATATAATAAACATAACCGAATGACGGCATTTATTAACATAACAGTCCATCGATTAGCATAAATCAACTGCTCATAAGGCTAGGACATTTCCATTTCAAAAAATTGAATCCCTAAAGGGAATAGATACGAGACGGGAGGAAAAATATACTTCAATATCTTCTGTAGCAATTATAACGTTGGGTAATTATACTGTATATAAACTGCGGGCATCAAGGAGTCGTTAATAATATGCAAGGCATTGAAATCGCTTTTGAACACGCGCTTGTTTTTACTTTCACTTTCGAGATTCGCAATCACATACGGGGCAGTACTCGGCAGTATTACCACACATTTTACAAGATTAGATGTTTGTCAGTGGTGCTCAGGATCTGCAAATTATTCACCAACATCCTATCAGTCATCTTTCCTTACTCTGTTTATGTGGGAAGTTAAATGTCATGTACTGTAATGTAACAGGCCACCGCTAGCAAGTGGCTAACCATGTCCCTTTAGTGGCTCCGTAGAACGTGTTATTTGTTTTACGCGCCTTTCTGAATACGGATTCAGCACACCTCTAACCCAGTCGGGGGTGTTTGTGGTCCGCACAGAGCTCTTATTTGACATCGTCCCAAGTTACTGTAACCATTATATGCTACGCAAGTCTACAGTGTGCGTGTGTGACAAAGCGTTCTTCTGTTGTCTTTGACAGCTTTTAGGTGCGTTATTGGCCACGCCACATGAACGCGACACCGCCGCATCAGCACGGAAAACATGGGGAAAGACAATCGCACAACCTATTCGATATTCTATAATCAAATCAACTAATCGAATATTCGAAAATCGTGACCCATCCCTAATACATATATTGATAGACCTTGACTCACCAGTAAAGGTGGTGGTCTTGCAATTTTATATAAATCTGAATTGCCTGTTTCTGTAATGACCACACCTGTTATGTCTTCATTTGAATGATTGGTTGTGAAAATTAATGGCAACACTCCTATACTTGTCATACTTATTTATCGTCCTCTAAACTAGACACCAGTTTTGTGAAGAAAATTTAACTAATTTAGTTGTACTTCGCAATAAACGTCAATATTTAAAACTTTATTTTTACTGACACCTTACGATGTATGAGTTACTGAAACCATTATATGCTACGCAAGTCTACAGTGTGCGTGTGTGACAAAGCGTTCTTCTGTTGTCTTTGACAGCTTTTAGGTGCGTTATTGGCCACGCCACATGAACGCAACACCGCCGCATCAGCACGGAAAACATGGGGAAAGACAATCGCACAACCTATTCGATATTCTATAATCAAATCAACTAATCGAATATTCGAAAATCGTGACCCATCCCTAATACATATATTGATAGACCTTGACTCACCAGTAAAGGTGGTGGTCTTGCAATTTTATATAAATCTGAATTGCCTGTTTCTGTAATGACCACACCTGTTATGTCTTCATTTGAATGATTGGTTGTGAAAATTAATGGCAACACTCCTATACTTGTCATACTTATTTATCGTCCTCTAAACTAGACACCAGTTTTGTGAAGAAAATTTAACTAATTTAGTTGTACTTCGCAATAAACGTCAATATTTAAAACTTTATTTTTACTGACACCTTACGATGTATGACATCCTTCATTTTAATGTGTAACATTATTTGATTGATGCGATTGTCAGTGCTGCCGCTCTTGGCGGTCATGAGATTATATGAATAGCAGCACGCTGCTCAAATTACTCCCAGAGGAATAATCAGTGATTCATATTTCTGTTTAATATTATTTTGTTTATTCTTGCAGTATATTTATTTATGATTAACCTCCCGTTTTCGTATTTAGCAGAGGTCTCAAACTCAATTCCTGTAGGGCACAGGTCTGCAGAGTTTAGCTCCAACCTAGGCTGCGTTCCACTCAACTTTTAGACACGCACTCACAAACTTTAAGCACTTCCCCTCAGGGGAATCCCCGCTGCCATTTTGAAGTGCGTTCCACTTCGTGAAGTGGACGAGGG